TAGATAATACCTTCATTATTTTCATCCTTTTCAAGATATGAAGTAATAAGTGACGAATTAATAGGTTTTGTCAAATTTGTAAACGCAAATGCTCTACTTGTATATACAGCATCAGGATTAGTTTTACGTGAAATTATAATATTTGGTATGTCTTTATCAGCTTCTTCAAATGCATCTTTTATTTCTTTTCCATAATATCCATATTGTTTAATATCTTTATATTTCTCAAAATCCTCAATTGAATAATACCAAAACAGTAATATACTTATTAATTCATTTACAGTTGGTCTTTGTTTTGGATTTGCATTGAAACACCTATAAGCTAATTTCTTATAAATTTCAGGAGTTCCTTTTCCAAATTCCGGACGAATTCCATTACAAATATCTAAGGCTAAAGACACGTCATGTTTTCTGTCATAAAAGGGAGGGTTTCCAGTTGATAATTCAGCCATAATTACACCTAAACTGTAGATGTCAGAGGCAAATGTATATGTTTCTCCATTCAAGACTTCTGGAGCGATATAGGGTAATACTCCATATATTTTGTCATTCGATTTTTGCTTATCTGCTGGTCCTGTTAATCCAAAATCTGAAACGTAAGAATTTATTCTATCTTGCAAGATATTTCCACTATGAAAATCCTTATGACAATATCCTAAATTTTGTAAAGTAGTAAGGTCAGCTGTAATATGAACTAATTTTTCAATTTTTTCTTTCCATAAAATATTGTTAAAATTATTTGAAAGATTATTTCTCAAATTTCCATCAGGTAAAAATTTTACAATCATAACAAATTCTTTGGTTTCCGTATCCTTTGTTATTCCATAAAACTCTAATGAATCTCCATCATCTTTATAAATATCCCAATGTGCTTTAAGCTAGTTTTTGTAATATATTTTAATTAAAATAAAAATATTTTTATTTAATAAATAATCGAATGAAAATGTAAATACCTCATTAAAATAATTGACTGACATATTTTGAGATCCATTTAACCTTTTCAAAGCAACCTTACTAGGTTCAGGATCTGATTTTTTCCAACTTCCATCATTTTGCCTCTTAAATTTTGATTTACCATCGATCCATGTTGCAGAATACACTTTTGCGAATCCTCCTTCACCAATTTCTTTTATATCTGTGAATCTATCAAAAGGCACCCATTCAAGAAATTTTGGGTGTTTTTCATTTTTATTCGTATCTGCATTATACATTGTATCTTTGATGAATTTATCAATATCAGAATTTCCGCTAGTCCATCCTTCACAAGGGTCACATTCTTTACACCATAATTTCTCTGTAAATGGTTTATCACAATAAGAACATTTATTAATTTCTGAGACATTTAATTTGTTATATTCAGATTCTATTAGGTCATTTTCATGGCTATTAACATCCATTATTATTATTTTTTTTTTTTTAAAAAGAGAAAAAATTTTTTCTGTAGGATATAAAAGGAATTATCATGACCAAATTTGGATCAACGGAAAATATTTTCCGAAAACATACTGCGGTAATTATTAATTCTGGCCAAGCTTTATAACTTTATAATTTTAGCTCAAAATTTAAACATTTTTAAATACCGAAACACTTAGTTTAAAACTATTCATACAAAATATAATTAAGGATGTTTAAAACCATGTGTTGTTCTTTACCCTAACTTCTATTCCATTACTTATTATTATTCTTCAAATAATAATTTGGTTTGTCAGTTTCAAATACAAAAAAAATATTACTCAGTTTAAGTACGAAAATCACCGCTCTATTGGAGTATTATATGGGAACGTTTCCAGTCATGAGGCATAGTAAATCATATGATCCGTAATGTGAAACGCTCCCATATTTTATCTGCTGATTATATAAACAAGGCATTTTCTATGTTTAAAATATATTAAATTACATAAAAAGCGATTTATATAAAAGAATTTACAGATCCCTAAAATGAATTTTAAAAATAAAAAATAAATAATTAAATTTTTCTATTGAAAATATACCATTTATCGTTTCTAGAATAATCGGCGATTAGTGTAAACGCAATAAACTTTATTTCTCGTAAAATTAAATGATGGACGATATCGATATATACCGGAGGAGGACAAAAGTATCGCTCGGTAATTATTTAGATATAGTGAAAAAATTTGATAAGTAAATTAGCTATTTTTTAATTACATATTAACTATCTATTGCTAAAAGATTAAAGTATTGCAAGCTGTAGAATCGAAGTACAGTCAGAACTCGATATGACGAACCTTCTGGTTTACTATGAAATTTTTTAAAAAAAATTGGTTTATCAAAATTTATAAGTTCTATATAACGATTTTTATATGTTCAAATATAAAGTCAAATTTTTTAAAAAATCGTTTAACAAGATTTTATTAAGTGATCGTTATATCGAGAATCGTTATATCGAGTTCTGACTATATAAACTTTTTGTGTTTTTACTGATTTATAACATTTGTACATTTACTTCTTATATTATTTATGATTTCTGATTTTCTGAATCCAATTTTTTGCAATAACCATGGCCCTTTCTTAAAAAATGTTCTTTAATAGCTGCTATTAAAAAATTGATATTTATTTAAATTAACAAATCTCTAAATAAATGAAACAAAGCTGAAACCTATCGACTCCTTATAAGGCTGGGCGCTATGCATTGAATTGATAATTTTATACAGATTTTTCATTCGTAATCCAACCCGTCATTAGAATTTGCTTCAATAATACAAATGATAATTTCGGGAGAAATAAAAATTTGAAGGATATAGCCCTAAGAAAAAATAAAACATTTAAATTGAAAAAAATATAAAAAATAATACATCCCGCCCGAAATAAGAATAATATTAAGCTCGCAGTCGTCTAAAAATAAAAAAAAATTATTTGATATAAATTAAACTATGTAAATAGAACAACCAGAAAAAAAATTACTCAAAAAATAATAAAAGTAGAATAGATTAATTAACAATTAAGCAAAATTTGAAATTTGGCAAATTTAATATAATTGATTAATTAATGATCATGGTTACCAAATGAGCATTCGACAATGGAAGCACACTAACTTACTTAGCTGACGATGCGAAAAAATATTTTTGACATTCCAATATGTTTTTAAAATAACGTCCACACGACAATGTATAATTCTGGAATTGAACAAGATACAGTAATATAAAAATAAGGAAGACAATGTTGAAGAAGCTATTGATGAGGTAGAACGTAGTCCGATATTAAAGAAAGTGAATAATATAGCGTTGATTATTTTACTATGATGTTTTCAAGAAAGGAATTAAAAAAACCTGAAAAGTAGAAAATAAAGTTCCCTTAGAAGTGTCGACATCGATCAAGAACCGTAAATTATTTGTCGTACAATTTTTTTTTAAAAAAAAGGGTTAGAATGAATTATATAATTATTATTTTTCAATCAAATTTATTTTGATTGATAAATCGTATAATTTATTTTAATTAATATATATTTTCGATAAAATTGGTTCTTTCAACATTCTTGAAAAGAAAGGTTATCATTATACACGTTTTTAAAAAAAATACATAATAAACCAAGTTATACTAGAATTTTAGGTCGCAATTTGTATACAAGTAATAATCTTATTATTGGAAGATTATTAATTCTCATGTTATATATTCTTTTCTTGTACAGTCACGTGAAAGTTAGAATTTTATTTAGTTAAAAGTTGGGATCGTACAGAAAAAATAAGTAAATAACAATATTGACGTTAACAAATTGAGAACAATTTTTTCTATTGATTATTTTTTTGCGGTAATCGTATATGACTGCGGTCAATCACCTGATTTGGTTGACTAATATGACAAAGGTTGTCACATAATTTGTCCAGTCTATTGGAACAATTTACTGGACGTCCAGTTCTGATGATCTGCCACATGTTTATAGCTAACGTTAAACAAACTTTTTTCAAAAAATATTTTTTATGTTACGGATAAAAGCGAGTGCCGTGCCGTGTTGATTACAAATAGGAAATAGGTGAAGAAAGATAACGAAATTCGTTCTTTTCTGGTTGCTGAAAATCGATTCGTTAGTTTAAATTGTTATAACGTTGCCATATATTAAAATCGCTGAAATTCTTCTCAAATAGTGAATAGATATTGTTAAGCTTAAACTGTTCGTCGTTAAGTTAACAATTTATATTTGCTAACAGGGAGTTTAATTACGTCTAAACTATGAAAGAAATATACACGAGTTTAATTAATTGAAGGGTCAGATTGTCTTTATTGATATTTATTATTTGAAGATAATTAGTTAATTCCATCCTTTATTAAGGCAAGATGCAAGATATTTATATAAAATACATCAATAGAAATAGATATTTAATAAAGTAAAGAAATATAAGAAATATAAGAAATTATATAAATTATAGAAATTAAAGAGAAATTATAGAAAATTAATAGCGATTAGTGTAGTATCACTAACTTGTAGATCACAAATAATAAATTAATACTGGTGGTACAAAGATTAAGAAGGACTTATCATCTTTAGGTGTTGACGAGTTGAATAACTTTCGCAAATCTATGTCATGTGATTTTTGCCATAATAGTGATAACGTCATCATATACTCTACCCTTAATTGATTGAAAAAAAATATAATAATGATTTCAATTACAATTTTTACTAAATCACAAGAAACAACGGAAAAATGATTCAGACAATTCCAAAAAAGGCAAGCGCCTTAGAATTACAGTCAGCACCAACAGGTGAATTAGTTCGTGATGGTATACACATTTCTAGCAATATGAATCCAGTAAACTCTGAAAGTTTTTATGTAGTATTGTATAAAATTATATTTTGCGCATTTGTACTCATACAATGCCAACTGGAAAATCCAACAGCTCAAAATGCAACGCGATCATTACATTAGCATCATGGAAGATGATTATGATGAAGGTGAGTTATTAGCAGTAACAATTCAAGAAACAAAGCTTGGTTGATAAGCTCAGCGGGACTCTCTGTAAATGTCGTGACTATCAAATGTCAAGTTTGTGTCAAAGAATTTTTTAATGAATCGGCAGGTCTAGTTGGTGAAATAAATAGACAATCGTTACAAATGTTAGGTGATACATCACAAGTCTGTAAACGCTCTTACCATTATTACCAAGCTATGACTTTTGAAAATTTCATAGGCTGCTGTTAGTTTCTCTTTAATTAATAAATACAGACCGAGCCTCTCCAAATGACATTTGAATTTCAAAAATTTTGTCCATTTCTAGTAAAAGTTGAAATTCAAAAACTAAGCATTTATTGGTTGTAGGTTAAGATCTTCTTTGGTAATTACATATATTAGAATGAATGGAAATTTGTAAATTTGTAAATCATCAAATCGGGACCCAGCCGACAGATCATAGCCACAACACCAGTTTTTTGGGAACCAATTTGTTTATTTTTCCCATTTTACAGATGGGATTTTGTAAATCTTAAGCCACAACGGGTCGGGTTGCAAGCCAACAAAGGTAAATTAATTAATTATTTATTTTTTTTAAAAAAAAAAAAAAACTTTACCCGACCCGACGGACTCCAGATTTTCGGGAACTAATTTTTTTACCACCATTTTGCAAATGAAATTATAAAATCCGAAGCCTCACGGTATTCCAAATAAAAGATATATTTGTGAAATTAATATTTTTTTTTTACCCGACAATGATCGATCGATCAATCTTTAGCCAAGCCTTTTTGTGATAATAATTAAGCCTCAAGATTCTAATAAATCAAAAATAATAAATTATTGTAATTTGAGGCTTTGTCAATAACTACCATAACGAAATCACAAGTTTCTTAAGTTCGAGACAAGTATATAAACACCACATTATTTCCTCTGAAGAATGTTCTTCACTTCTTTCAATATTAAATCATAAATACAAAGAAAGAAATCCAAAATGAAAGTCACCATCGTACTCTTCCTCTTTTCCTTATTCGCTGCAG